CCCAACCCTTTACACTTATCTTGACTTGGTATACAACTTAGTAATAAATTTATACTGAAATTTCGTAAAATGAAGTTGATATATATATTATTGGTAATACAAACTTTTCATAATGATTATCTAATAATTTTTTACTCCTATGGTGCCGTGGAGGAGGTATATCACAGAATTTTATTAATTGAAAGTCAGCCTCACGTTTGTCAGTATCAGCATTTATCAATGCGGAATACTCTATTTTTTTAAAACCTTTAAAGTTTTTCCTGAATAAACATACTTTTCAAAATACTTTCTCTAAGGAAGCAACACTACCAAGAAATTTCAATAATTCGAAGCACGAGAACTATAAAAACGCAATAAACAACCAATTTCAAGCACTGTTAATCAGAAACTGAATTGTGGTGGGTAAGGTCCTGTTACGCTTTACCCCAAAATACGAGGCGCCAATGGTTCGACTCAGCAGATTTCGGTATTTATGGAATAGTGTTGTGTTCTGACGCTTCTACCTAGTGAAACCAACCTGCCAATGACTGAAACTGTTTCAGTCAAGCTCTGAAGAAGCCAACAGGAATCAAGAAGTTTTGTAAAAAGTATTACAGTAGCCTGTGAAAGTTTCTTTGAAAAAAAAAATAGAAATAAAAATTTTAAAACATCTCCACAATTTCGCAAAAAACTTTAAATTAGGATTAGCTGAACATGTTCCATACTAATTAACCAATTAGTATAAATAAAGAGTGTTTTGAATTGTTATATAGTTTTAAATAGACGTTTGTTTAACTTTGCAAAATTAAAACTGATAATGAAATAAAAATAATAATGAATAATAAAATAAAATAAATATATAAATAAAAATAAAAATGAAATTGTACAAACAAAAACCAAATTCCAGTCGTCGCCACACATTTTCGTTTGATACTGGCGTTTCGCACTTTTTCGTCAATTCGAATTTCCGCATGTCTAGATGAAAAGGTTGAATACATCGATCTGGAGGTTGTTATTGATCCAAAATTAAATCTTGTTAATCATATAAACTTAACAGTTCCTGATGAGCGAAAGTGTTGGAAGTTGGAAAAGAAGCGTCAGAATTTGTTTATTTTGCTTTGGTGCGGTCCAGGTTGGAATTTGCTTTAGTAATGTCATCCATAAAAACTCACTTGCAGATGGTCAAAGGCGTTTCTCCTCGTAGATACTCAAAGGACGCCCTATAACTTGCAGATACTTTTTACTGTAAAAAATCCTTTTGAATAGAGCTTGTAGAAAGTCTAATGATGTGTCATGGACAGTTAGATTTAGATGTGAGAATATGCAATTTAAATTAGTTTAGATTTAAGCTTATTCTATTGTCAAATAAATAAAAAGAAACTGCAATTGTCTAGAACCGGCATTTGATGAACCATGTAGTCTACGTAAGATGACCCAATATCCGATCTGGGAAATATTAAGATCTACAAAAAAAATCTATCAAAATTTTCTTGTATTCATTTAAACTTCTTAAATATGTGGTTTTTATGTATACAGTATATTTAGTTTTTTCAGGTCAGGTTTCTTATATATTTCCATATGCTGATACAGACAGACGTTTTTCTTTATTTTTTGACACAAATGACAACTGTTATAGTGAAAATATTTTTAATACCTTTCAATTTTAATATATGCCAAAGAAAGAAATAAAGTTTATGTTTCAGAATGCTAGAACAGCAAATTTTTAAATGATGAACACGACACAATATTTTTGCAAAATGTATTCTATTTCTTTTTAGGGCACCCGCTGTATATTAATTTAACATTAAAATGAACATTAAAAGACAACTTCAATTACATAAAATAGTAGGGTTCTAAGGTAAGGGGAATTATTCATATCATCATTTTCAAGTTGTCAACATTTAAAATGTATTAAAATTGTTTTATTTCAAAATTTTGCTTTATTTCGCTGGCTATAATAATAATAAAATCTGAAAGCATAGTAGTAGTAGTGTTTTGTTTTTTCCTCAATAAATGCCAGTAAAGTAATATACTAGTGTCGATTATGTTTACATAATATGAATAGCATGTTGCTCGCTTCAAATTTTGCTTTACTGGGAAAGACCGGCACAAACTTTTATTTTGGCATATATAGAATTTGAAAGATATTTAAAATACTCTCGCGATGACAGTCGTGTCATACATCGTTAAACTCGTCTTGAAACGCGCTCTCCGAACTTGTATCGGAACTTTTTAAAATGAGAATTTTTTGTACCTGAAAACCATACATTTAACAATCATACACTTAAATCAATACAATGAACTTTTGTAATAAACTTGTGGAAGATCTTCCCAGGTCCAGTAGTGCGTCATCTTATATAGACGACGCTGCACCACGTATACATGCGGCTTAAGATAGTTTGGTAAACTGTGGCTTGCATATTATTAATTCTTGAGAATTTTATTGCCCGAATTATAATTTGAAGCCTAACTAAAAATGCAATTCAAATTCCAGATGCGTTACGTGAACTGTTAGGTTTTAAAGCGTTTAAATAGGAGAGCCGTTTGTTTAAAAAAAAACGTTTGCTGCACAAACTGAGGGAGTTATTTGGCAGGATCCATATTTCACTCTCAAAATAAACTAACAACAAATACGTCCAGTGACGTATAGCGGTAAATAACTGTCTCGCATTTGTATATATATCGAATAGTCGCCCTCGCTGTAACACATTTCGAGAACGAAAAAATATAACCCTATTTACTTTTAGTGTGTAAATTTCATTTATGCGTTTCCACGTTTTCACTATTTGTTCGAGGGATCGGTCGAAAATTAATTAATTAAATTAAATTCTGTTCGTTTCTCGGTCAGTTCATGTCTGGCGAAGACCCTTAATCGCATATCATTACAAAACGACACGTAATGCGGATATGTTCATTGGATGCGGACATGAACACGATTCATTTACCAAACAGTCGGGCGACATGTGTAACACTTTTTAAGTTGAAACTTGTCCGTTACACGAATTCTGCGAATATTTGGCGAACGTATACAGGGCTCTCTAAACTCGGCGGCCTATTAGAAGTGCACAGGGTATTGTCAAAACCAATGAGGAAAATTTGAGGTGGTGATTACTTGTTTCAAATAAAGGCTAGCAGTTATCGAAACGTTGACTCATTAGAGAGATATCGCGCTACAAATATGGCGGAACGATATTGTTTTTATTTATTTTATTGAAAACGGAAACACATAGAACAAGAAAATATTACGGAAGTATTACTATCGTGAAAACACGCTTTCGGTATGTTTTTTATATTTTTCAAAACGAGTATTAAAGGAGAGAAAATTTTATTTGTTTGTAAACATTACAGTTTCATTACATTAGAAACGTGTAAAGTAAGGAAATGGAAATTTCCATAAAATATATTTCAATTTCAATTCTGATATTAATAAATAGGCTTTGATATCATTTTTGATCACTTACCATCTGCCTTACAATATCATTCATTATTCCTTTTTGATGGCGTGGGCACAAATGACACAATAATTAAAACAACCATACGGTAGCAGCGCTTTCATAGGTATACTTATTTAGTTTAACAATTCAGTATTTAAGTTGTGGTCTTTCAAGTACCCACATCGACGAAAAGATATTCCAATAATTCTTCCCAATTGGTGACTGAACAAGCAATTATTTTAAATTACATGATTTTATCACGCGAAAGTCTACAGTTTTTAAATTATTGCGGGAGAGAAAGCGCGTCATAAGGAACCTCCCTAGAAAAGTTTAGGCAGACCAAGTCCTTGATGAAGACACCAAAAGATTAATTCAAAAAATAAGATTTTAATGCAGTGTTCCCAGGATGACAGTATTCCCATGACCGTATGGACTAATTTAAAAGACAGAACATTTTCTGACGATGAAAACACTTGTGAACTATAAAGCAGCCTCGAAGAGAACAGCGGATTAGCGAAGACTAGAAAGTGGTACCAAAAATTGCCAAGGCATATAACAAACTTTCATTAAAGGGCTGTCGTGTTAAGATGTGCCTTCAGGAAAAGCAAAGAGAGTCATTCTCTATATTGGGATTCTTAAAATAAGGCTCACTAAATCTTCACTCGTGCTACAAGCCAAATTGGCACACATATTTTGGTGAAATAATAAAATACCTTCCGACTGATTTAGTAGAAGTTATGAAAAATAGAAGCCATAAGTCACGAAGCAACTCAATCTTGGAGAAATTAAAAAAATATCTATTGGTTCACCACCAAAACTATTGAATATGAAGATAATTTGATAAAAAGAGATTTATTATAATACATTAAATTTGCACACGCGTTATGAAGTATGCCGTGAAAGATATAGTTGAAAAACATTGTCTAACTGTGCTCTGCACGCTCCTGTTTGATCAAGGAAGTGACGAAGAATATTTATAATGATGCATTGTATTAGCCAGACTTACGCAGATGATAAACTATTGTAACTATCATTTATTCTTGAAGAAAGTCGGCAAGTTCTATTCAATGAAGCACTATCTCGGGTAGCAAACATTTACAAATTTAATCCTTCAAAATCTGTAAAAATTCTTTTTTGTAACATAGATGGTCCCGATCTTTTTTTCAAAATTTACTGAACATGTTACCAGTAACATTTTTTTGGACAATTTTAAATATGGAATATATGGAACAACAAACAAATGAGTATGTAGGGAATAGTTGCTAGCTTCTTACTTAATACATAACAAGTCTAGTAGGTTCGACTGTTTTTTTAATATTATTATTATTTATCTAGGCCTCAACAGAATTTGTGAGTCTTATAAAAAAGCTGACGGCGACGAAAACAATGCGTTGGGTCACTATGTAGTCCCTCGGGTTGTTTAACACAAAGACAACATCATCTGGAAAACGAGGAAATCCCGCTTTCTTGACAATGCATTATGTAATATAGAAAATCCCAAGCAGGGATGTTATTCATAAACGAAAAATCATGTAAACTTGATAGTTTTTTCTGATTTGTTTGAATAGCCATATATTTTATTTACAGATGAACCGCCCCATCCAAGTGAAACCAGCGGACAGTGAAAACCGCGGTGGTAAGTTGTCATTATTTAAATTTTTTTCACGAAATAAGTTCAACATTTACAATTTCAGAAACTAACTACTGCCTACATTTTTTATAATTTCATTTCTATCACTTACGCACCGAAAATATATATTTATAAAATCGTGTCTGGTTCGCTGAAAGTCTGCATAAAACACAATAATAACGTAACAAATGTCTACAGAAATAACGTGATTTTTGCAGGTTTGAAATACGAAAAAAGCGCAAAATTAGAAACATTTAACCACGTTTCCAGGTCGTTCAATAACGGAGATGGGAATGGTAAGCAACCACCGTAGTTAGAAAATAATTCGATGCTGACGTAATACTGTAAGACGTATCGAAGCGTGGGAGTTTTTGGTCGTCCCCGGTATAGATCGTTTTAGCCGCCACACGCCCGACGTAACCGAAAGTTTCTCGCACCAGCCATGAATAATAAACGCGAAACAGGAATAATTCAGCGACTCCTTTAAACCAATTTTCGTAATTTAGATTTCCTTTTAGTAAATTTTATCTATTTGAAGAGTGCTTTAATAATAAACGACAAGAGCACGCGCCTCGAGAGGGATGTGGGGATACAGCTTTATATATTATTTAGAGGGATGACCGAGTAAATGGCACCTGAATGAAGCCCCGGTTGCCACTTTCGTTTAAGGGGCGTTTTGCCTCGAATAGAATCGGAATTATTGTTTCGTTTCACGGAATCTAATTGATTGACGGACAGCAACCTACTTTCTTTTGTCTGCAAACACACCTTATTTCTGTACCGAGTCTTGGATACTTTTACAATATTGTTTTGTTATAGATACAAAGTGGTTGCAATTTTGCGACCTATAAATGTCTTATTTTAAAAAGAGCACTCTGAATATTCAGGCATTTTTTAATTCCTCTGGACTTTATAGGCATATTTGATATATAATCTTGCATACCTAGATCTTACCGTTTCTGAGATACAGTGTGTCCAAGACAAGGATGTCTATCATGGGGATATTGGCAACCATAAGAGATACAAAAATGGTTAAATTAGAAAAAAGTTGCAAAATTTAAAGATTAATAACTTGCAGTTGATAAAACAAAAAAAATCCGTTCACTTCAGAAGATACACGAGATTTTCCGATTTCGCTGTTATTTTTCAAAAACCTCAACGCAATATTAAACTCAAGACTATGTTGATGTCTAGACATTGGGTGTATTCTAGGATTATTAATGGGCGAAATTAATTGGTTTCTGAAAACAAAATAACTAGTTGATTTCACGACTCCAGTTGCATGTCCATTTTTTCTAACAGGTGTTGCTGGTCTTTCAGTTACAGCTAACAATACATTATTTACTTTTTTTTCATTGCTTTTTTTCATTGTTTACGATTTGTTGTTAATCTTTCAAAAATTTTTGTGCTCGGTTGTTTTCTCTTAGGGTAGTTATTTAAATACATAGTCTCAGCTTCAATGGCGTTACTATAGCATAAGATATAACATTGTAGCATATCGAACTTTTGCACGTTCCATTTTATATAGCAGAAAAGAACCAATAGCAAAAAGACACAATAACAACGTTAAAAAAGACAAAATGTCAATAACAGTATATTACTCATTTTAAATTTTGCAACCTTTTTCTGATTAAACCATCTTCATATCTCTTCTGGTTTCCAATATTCCCATTATAGATATCTTGGACCACTGTGTTTTGAATTTTATATCAAAAACAGATGTAAATATTTCTTTCGATTTCGGCTAAAAGCCTTTCTGTAGGAGAACCGACCACTGTCAATATTTTACATGAATGTGTTAATAATAATGAATAACATAAACTGTAGACCTCTGGTTTAGCGTTGTTATAATTTTTTTTTATTTCAAATACAACATTTTTTAGATCTCGTTTAAGTCAAACGCATTCGAACTTTTTACAGTTTATCTCTGTGTGCGTTTTACTTGACGTTTTGAATGCCCGTATATTGTCAAATTTATAAATATTACTTTATTTTTCCCGTGTAGCGTTTTAGGACTAATTTGAAACCTTGACCTTTGGGTGTATTTGAATCTCAAGATTTCTGAATTACTTTGCGCGATTTGTACAGGTACACCTCCTGATCACTTTTAAAATCCATCACACTAAACGCCGCCTTAAACTAAAACAATTTCAAGGAATAATTTATCAAAAGGCGCAGACAAGTATCTCCATTACGTCAAATTTAGCTCGGCGCGTTCAAAACGTCTGTGAAATATCACATGACAATGCCGTACACACACACACACATACAGACACTTTGAAGCATCGCACTTCATATCGCTCTGATTAATGTAAATACCTTCATTTAGCGATTGTCGCTTACATTCCCTTTCTTGTTAAACCGCGTATGTTTACGGTTTATGACTGCTGCGCTCATCCCCCCCGAGTGTAAAGCGTTGAATACCGCAGCTGAAAAGGGTACTGCACTTTTTAATTTGGCCAATTACCCCTTATCAAAGAATGTGCGTGCGTTCGTTTTGTAAAAAAAGGCCTGCAGATAAAAAAGGACGCGCATGAAGTTAATATCTCATTTCCTCACTTGCGTTTCGTCTCGCAGAAGAAAAATCTTACAAAATCCATAGAAAGGAACTAGGAAACTAATACTAAAATTTATGAAGTGATTCACGGTTGATGGCAGGTTAGACGTTTATTGCAAACGAATCGTAAAACCGTTCTGCAAATTTGGTTGTCTAATAAGCGAGGACGATCTATCTATCTATCAAGCATATTTTAAGGGCTGCGACGTTGCCGCTTCGTATTTTTGGATTTTCTGTCCCACCAACTATTTCTGATTGTTTTCCTATAATAACCTACCTTTCCTAAGCGGTTTTCGCGAAACTCAATTTTCACAGCTTAGCGTCAATTAAATCTTTATTCAGTTATCGACTATTTTGGAGGCCAACTAAAGACTGCTTCAAATGATATATTATGATAAAACAGTGGTTACGGGAAAATGTTTTTAAGAAATGCTAAGAATGCTAACCAAGTTTAGAGAAAAATGCCCGCTCAATTGATCATGCAATGGCTAGGGGGTCCAAGTAAATCATTTTCTACTCAGCACTTAGTTAGTCCAGCCGGCCTGAATTTATCTATCTCAAAATATGCCATTAAATATAATCCTACATAGAGGAATAGTGTACAAAGTAAATCTTAATATGCTTGAATGCCTTTTTTTATTATAACATGCGTAAGAACGATCTGTTTTCATGGCGTCGATAACATTGATTTACAATCTACCAAAAACATAGTATACACTTTAATCAATATACCACAATTATTAGAAATGTATAAGTTACGTTCCTAACACAAAATATCCTTTACTAGCCCTTATCAGTTTCAGTTTGTGTTGTATTTTATTTCTTAGGAACAATAAATATATTTCATTCAAATTCACCTGAATATTGAGAATTCCGAAAGTCAGTTTCTTTTAAAATTGGCATATCTGCTTGAAATTGCCTTGAAATTATCAATCAATTCTCAGCAACTTTAGCAGTCACTCTAAATAACAAATATGACATAAAGCTTTTAGGAAATATATAAGTTTTGTGGTTAACTATTAAACTTACTTTCGATAATTAATATTAATATTAATATATAATCAAAATAAATAATGAAATTATTTTGTGATTCCTTGATAAGCACGATCGAAATTTTCTATAAAAATGACGACTCAATGAATTTTCTAAGTTTTCTTTGTTAAACTAAATTATTTTATTATATTTTGGTTCTGATTGACGCGCAGATATTTCACATTAAACACAATGGAATGTCATTTTATTCAACAAATGATTTGAAAACATTTTAGTCAACAATGAACACAAAGTAATCAAACATACCAGTTTAACCACACTAGAGAGATGATAAATAAGATGCCTCAGGTCACCTTTAAAACAGAAGAGAATAACATTGAAAGAAACATTGATCTGTAGAAATCAACGAAATATAAAAACGCCCTGACAGTAATATAAATTTCAATATAATTCGCTGCATTCATTTGTCGGGTTTGGTTTCCAGACAACCAGTATAAAACATGGGGACTACATTTTTGCGCTATCCTCTCTTATTTCTTACGAAAGCATAAAGCGAAAATTTTTATGCAAAGACCGCCAACTTGAAAATGCTCTTTCAGATAAATTTCCGAACCCATTTCCCAAGTTTATCTATCTTTCCATACCCTCCACCGAGTTTGATTTTCACATTCTACTAAGCACTCCCCTCATATCTATAACTAACCAAAAACTTTTTGATAAGCTTGTGTCAATCATCATCAGGGCGATGCGTTCAACTCCGGAAAAGCAATTTAAAAGACATATTGTCTCGGTAGATGTCACGTATATACCGAGTGTGAATAATACGTATTTAAACAAATTTAAAATTTTAAATCGTAATGTTTCAATTTTGAGAGATATAAAACAACAGTGGGAGTTACAAAATTCCTTATGTCAATTTTGCCATATTTATCATTTGCACTATATGTGTATACACTTTTCACAAAACTTCTGGATTGCTCCTGCGTAGGCTTTTGTTGAGTCAAACGTGCAAAGTCGCGGTTAAGATTGTTACGATGCTTGTAGATTTCTATAGACTCTCGGATTTTTCGTTGATAGAGGATTTGGTTACATGCAAGAATTTTAGTTTTGTCGAATACAATTTTATGTCCGGTTTCGTGGTTGTGTTCGGCAACTGCTGATGAGTTTATTTGTCTTAGTCTTAAGGCTCTTTCATGTACTTTGAGCCTGGTTGATATTTTTCGTCCGTCAGACCAATGAAAAATCCGAAAGTTTGTAGAAAACCATAAGCAACCTAATAAACTTAGCCGCAACTTAGATCTTTATCTGTCACCAATATGGGAATCAGTCACCCGAGACGGTGTTTATGGCCCCTTATATAGGCAGGTACAGAGTAAAATGCAATCCAATTTCAGATAAGTTCTGAAGTAGCCAACATAATGATTGGCGACACGTTAACAAGTTTCACTCAACAAAA